TCAGTTTGTGAGTGCCAAATTTCTACTATGCAAATTTTTTGGTTCTCAAAATACATTTTTCATATATATATATATTTGTTGTTTTGAAGTATAGCTATCATAATTTAAAAATTTTCTTTGATATGCAGTTTTAGTAAACATTAAGTGCAGCGTTTTCAGCTGACAAAGCTTACTCACATTTTAAACCGATGAAATTCAGCTAAGCAAATTCTGGCAGTATTTAAAATGCTTTAGTTGCCATTGTGTCATTTCTCTGCAATTTGCTTAGCAGATATATATATATGTATACTGTAGAAATGTGTATGCAGAAGAAATCAAAAATACTCAGAAAACTTCTCTTTCAAACTAATTATTTGAATCGAATTAGCTTATTTCACAAAAGTTTGCTAGCTCAGTTCTGAAGTTGTAAGTCATTGATACACTCAAAGTATGCTGGAGGAACTTTTTGCATATGAACTGAGTATTACCTCGAAAATGGTTTCTATTCCTATTATTTTGCGCAATCCAATATTTTGGCAAAATTATGATTGAAATTTTTTGATGAACTAAAAATGTTGTTACTTTCTTCACGAGGAAGATGAATGATCTAAAAAAATGAATCCATCATCAACAAATTCAAATCGTTTCAACGATTGGAAAATAGATTTCACTCATTATATTATTTTATAAGGTGGATTGTTGTAAACATAATTCACTGTAATATTGAATTTTTTAATGGGAGTTTACTATGATAATATGCTATTAATAATAAATTAACACACTGGACAAAAGCGATACCTTCGTTGATACTGCATTCGAATTTCTTGCGACACGAAAACTAATAGACAATCAGAAATTTGCGACGAGCAATAAGCGTTCGTATTTCCATTTCTGCGTCCCACCGTGAACAGATGGTCTGTTTTGTACTCTTCTAATGCTTAAATGCTTTATGTTGCATACAGAACTTCAGGTCCATAATGATGGCAATAATTATGTTTTATGTAAGTATACAAATAAGTATAATACATTAATATGAATGAATAAATGCCAGATCTTTGCTTGCCAATTTGTATATCATATATGAATATTTCTTAATATCTACCATGCGTTCAAGAAAGAAAAAGTTTTTATACCGAAGGAAATCTTGTGATATTGAAACGATGAAATAATACCTTTTATCTCTGCCCAACTGATTCTTCATCGGCTAGAGCTCTGAAAATTAACTCAGAAATAAAACTTCAATGCAAACATAAATTCTAAGATATTCATGAACCTTACTTATTCTCATCTCCATCCACTTAATAAAATTTGAATTTTTTACTCAAAAATATTCAAAAATTATCATTTTTTCTGTGTTCTTTTATTACAATCATGAAAACATTCTAACCCTAATTTTTCATGGTTTTGATGCGTCAAAAACTTTAAACTACCAACAAAATATTTCTAGTAAACATTTTCGGATAAAACCGTTACCGACACCGTTACCGTTACCGCGATCGGACAAGAAATTGTCCTTTCCCATCGTGCTAAAATAAGTCATCTAAAAATCCTAAAAATTTTTAATTAGTTACCGATCAACATAAAGCTTTTCTCAAAGAAAAAAGGGATTAACAGATAAAAGTAAGAAGAGGTGTACAATATAGAAAAGTAACAATAATTACATCAATATCGACTGTAGTTTATTAGTTTGTTATCCTTTCATTTTGTTGCAATCGAACGAATTTTCAAATTGTACGCTGCGATGTTCTGTGAAGCTATGACTATATGCGCTGTCTTCAGCGTGATCGTTGGTAAGAATTTAATGATTATTTCAGTTTTAGATTATGTGTGACTGACTGTTTTGGGGTAAATTGTTAGAGATGATGAGAGCTTTTAATAGCTTTCAATGTTGTAATAACTCAGAGTTTAATAAACAATTATATTTTAGAGAAAACTTCTAAATTGGGACTGCATCAACACCGTTCAAGCCTTTTTCAATGGTCATGTGTTAGGACAGTTTCAATTCCTCGTAATTTGAGTTATCCACCAGGACTTAAAACTGACCTAACAATGTTCCAAACTAAAGGAACATTTACAGTAAGTAAATTTCATTTTTCTGATTGATTTTAAAGAAAGTCACAACTTTCGTTTTTCAAATGGATAAAATTGTTTGATGAGAGGTATTTTTATTGGTTCAGTCAAATTAATTCTGTTTTTACATTGAAATATTTGGGTAACATTTTAGAAACCTGTAATATCACCGTTGTACGAAAGAGTCATTTCATGAAATTAAAGTACTTTTCCTCTTCAACAACAATTACCTTTGAGTGCAAAGCAAATATATAGTGCAGTTTCAAAAATGCTTTTGTTTTAGTTAAACTTTGAAGGATTAAAAGCAAAATTAAAATCGTTTATTTATTTATAAAAATATATGCTTTCTACTATGAATATTTATTTACAGTATGTAATCATACTAATCAAATCAACGTGATTAATAATTTAATCGTTTGGCAACTTTAAAGCAACTGTTTTCTAACGTCAGCAACACAATTGCCGAAGGTCAGCTGATGGCGATTGCATTTGTCGATTAGTCTATTTCTGAAGTTAATATGCAGTATCTATCCGTCAGAAATATCGCACTAATCAAGGACTTCTTGCAATTAATTTCACTAACACATCCATCTATATACACAATTTGATATAGAGTTTTGCCCCGCAATCCATTCAACATATTTTCACTCAGTTAGTTGTAATAGGTATATGAAATGATGTAGATATACGACTTGAAATTGTTCGAAATGTCATTGTTTTCACTAGACAGAACTTTGTACGGTTGAATTAATACAGACATATCTCAGTCATTCAGATATGGTGCATATCATTGTGATTTTCATAAAAAATTAAGGAATTATTTATTGCTACACTATTTTGCAGTAAAAGTGAAGACGAAGCAACTTCCTATCCATCATTTTGATGCTTGTTTTCCTTTTGTGAAATAAATAATTCAATAGTTGAAGCTTGGATGACTTACTGTTTCTTACAATGTAAACAAAAGATTTTCAGACTTTCTAAAGCCGGAAGTAGATGAATAGCGATTTGAATGATCAACAGCTTTCTCCTATGCAATCGACATCTGAATTTGGTGACTCAAGGAAAGAGTTAAGACAAGTTAGATGCTGTGTGCATGGTCGTCCTTGTGTCATTGCCTCTAAACTTTCCCGGGTATCAACTTTTCAGTAATATGAAAAGTTATTTGGTAGCAAACTTTTAATTATACTCTAAGATCTTAAATGTTTCAACTAATTTATCATATATGTTAATTAATTAAATTGACAAATTTGCTGCTTATAAAATCCATATTTTCACGTGGAAGTCGTGAATTAAAATGCAGGGACAGGAAGAGGAAATAAGTCGAGATATATCATCAGGATCATATAATTATTCAAAATCTCGATACGAAAGTGTTTTAGGAAAATCCGAACCAAGTAGTAGCGATACCATCTCTTATGGCTTACAAAGAAAAGTTGAACGTGACTGTTAGATGTTTATAAAAATTATTCATTTTTCCAGTTCTTGATTATTACGATTCATATAAGTTAAACGAAGTGAACTTTAAAGGCATCCAAAGATAAATTTCCAAATAGACTGAATTTTATTCTTAAAAAACAATAACTGTGAAAATGTTACCGTAGTGACATGCAACAGCTTCATAGCTGGTGTGCTTTTTGCAACCGTTGTGTGAAAATAAATTTCTAAAAGAGAAATATGATACTTTCGATGTATACTCTCATACTGATTTCTTTAAATCACAGCTTTGGATGTTCCGTTAAGTAAATGGAATCTATATACGCCTTGTTCATCAAGTAGTGCTATTGACTTGGAACCTATCTTCCGATCGGTTGAAAGTGACCAAAATAGAGTACAATCGAGTGAAAATGAAGTAAATCACAATTGTTTCCATTAATTTTTTCATAATAATTTTTCCTTCATGGCTAGGCTTACATTACTTTCAGTGGTCAATATTTTTTAAGGAATTAATTGACAAAATTTACAGCGTTTCATCCCACGTAAAGTTGAACGTTATTCTTTATCTGGAACTGTGGATGCTCCATTCATCAGTAGAGTGCCAAAAAAAATTAAATCGAGGGAAAAAGGCAATCAGTATGAACTTATGATACGACCGTACGTTTTGACGACTAATTTTTATTTTTATTTTTGAACTCAAAAGTGTCATTCGTTACTGATGTTTTTAGTGATAATTATCATACAATAATCCGTGACCTAGGTACTTGGTACAGCTTTACTTTCTGAGTTCAGAGCAAGCATCGATACGGAAAACGATCACTGATTGCTGCATCCACTGGTGCAGCTTACAATATCAATACAATGTGAAGGATTATTTTATGCGATAAAGATTATTACTCTGTTTAATCATACGTTAAAAAGCATGAAATAGATACTTGACTTCTAGGGAGTGTTCAGATATTGTATTATCGCAGCCAATAATACCCAAGGAACAATTTGTGCGAACTGCGCAAAGGGCTGGCAGCGTAGAAACTTCACCATCGATAGAAGCTTATATCGGAGTGATGAGCGAGCGTCAAGCTGAAGAATATGTTCCAAAACCTACCTCCTTTAAACTCTATCATAAAGTTAGCTTTCAACAGTTCCCTTTGCTGTAACTATTCAAATTACAAGGATTCTGACACACTCATTTCAGATGCCAAAAATACATACATTCAACGATGTGATACCATCTCTTGGACTTTACATCATCTATCGTAGTGGAAAAGGACACATTTAGTATGTTTTTGTGATTCCTTCCTATCAAAAAACAAAGTTGATAAAAGTTAAATTTTTCTCTATAAAACACAACTTTTTGTTTTCGGTGAAAGCAGTCCAAGGTGAAAAAGAAAATCAGAATATTTGATCAAAATATCTGAAGATTATGTCTAGCCATAGTGATATGATTAGAACATCTTGACCGACTGCTTTGCTGTTTGACCATTCCGTTGTGATTGCAAAAAAGACCTTGAAGAAAAAATGAAAAGAGATCTGAGCACAAATTTGTCCATATCAAAGTGTGAATTTTATTAGAAGTCTATTTCCAAATACTTTTTTACAATTTATAATAAAGTGCTTTCAGTAATTATCCGATAAAAGAATGTAAACAGTATGTAGATTATCCGAAAGCAAGATCTAAGCTCACACCACTCTTAAATCTTCAAGTTCGTTGCTTATTATAAGTTGGAGTTTTTTGCTAGAAAAATAGTACGTATACATATGAAACAAAAAAGGTATAGTTTGATATTCCAATAGCTGAATGAATATACCTACGAAATCGATAATAATAATTAGAATGTTTGTGTAAACTAATTTAATGCACAGGTAGAGTACGGAGATCCTTTGGCACCACGCTTCTTTACTCTTGACGCACTTGTCAGCTACTATAATATTTACGTACACTTACGTCAAGAAGATGGTGAATGCGTAGCAGATATATTTCCAGTTCGTAGTACACAATTTAGCAATTCATCGTCTCGCCGAGTTATACAAACATATCAGTGACGAGAGAACTTAAATGGACATTATGTCTTAGTTTCTGTACTGAAAAAAGCAATTGTTTGATGAGTTCATCTTAACGAACAATTTTTGAAAAAAAATGAAATGTAAAATAACTATTTTGTATTTATCACACTCAAATTTTTAGCTCCAATTACTGACTGTCGAATTTTCACTCATGCACAATATTTAAATTCAACAACACATAATCAGCATTGTCTTCATGATTGCTATGGAAGTGGTCAGAGTAGATATGTTGTTACAAATCATCGATAAATTGCTCTTAAAGCTAATTCTCGAATAAATGTATATGTTTTGCACAAACACTAGCAGATAAAAACGAATATTACTGTTTCAAATTTCAGGAATAAACGCATTTGCGATGTGTCTTTTTTCGAGTAATGTAAATTCCCGATTTATATGCTGTAGATTGCTTTCATTTTCAGTAATTCTCATCAAAAAAGCACTGACTTACCAAAATGTTTCCTAACCATTCGTTTCATTTAATTTCTACAGTGATTCTGAAGCACAGTTTTTCACTGCTCTAAAAGTTGGTGATAAATTAGAATCGACCATGTTTAATAGACTAAGGAACTTTCATTCAAGTCAATCAGCTGTTTTTCAATTTTCACTTCAACTAGCACAACTCAACTCTGACCATGGCTGTTTTGACTAGAATAATGGTCAATGACCATTATTCTAGAAACACAACAAAACAACAGTTTTATTCCTTAATTTATGAGCAATTAAAATAAAAGAATTTCCTCCATCTGAATTTACTTTCTTATTGTGGTGAAGCAGACATACAGATGGGATTAAACGTGAAAAAATCTATTATTTGTTGCACAAAGTGTTGCAGAGTCTGGAATACGACTGACCGCTACAATTTTTCTTTCATTTTAAACAGTAAAACTATGGCTACAGCCTTTGTTAATTCATCTCTTAGTATTCTGGTGAAAGAATTAATACAATTGCTAGAATGAAATAAATACAGAAAGAGTAGTCCAGCAATGCTTTGCTTACTATTTTTCTAATCTTAGTAAATAGATACAAATGATTCTTCCCACTCGATGGACATATGAGTACTGTCTTTATCAACTCGACATCTCGACATAATCAAATCATTTGACGTCATCTAATTGCTTATAATTTGAAGAAGCATCTAAGCAGGCAACAGTTACAGACAAGAATATAGACTCTTCTTTAAAGCTTCGATTGTATTGTGTATAAAATTCCATCATTAAAAGTTTCACAAGCATTGTTCAATCAAATTAAAGATTATTTCTGCCTTCTAGCAGTTCGAATAATGCATTTATTTATTTCTAATCTCAAAACAATGAATTCATTATTACTAATTCAATGATATTATTCAATTTTAGTTTCTGAACATGGCGCTAATGTATGTTTACTTATATTTGATAACATTATCACTAATGAGTCTGTAAATGCTTTTGAAATGTGCAGGTTTTGCACATTTTGAGTGCATGAAACATGATAAATAATATTAGTGTGATTCAAATTATAAAGAGATTAATCAGTGTAATCTAATCTGAAGTGGACGTTTTGATTCTGCAGAAGGCAATAAAATATTTATGAATAAACGATGCTATTTGGTTAACAGTAAACAGCAGGATCATTAGCAGTGAACTACAAATCATGTTCAGGATGAACCAGTAATCACCAAAATATACTTTCTTTTAATCCATTTGTTTGTACTTACGACTTTCCATTACTTTATGATTTAGAAATGAGAGGATCATTATTTCACTTCCAAATCGTTTTTAAACAAACAGCAAATGACCAGCTTATGAAAGTGGACAGCTTATAAAAGTGGACAACTTACAAAAATGGGCAGCTTTTCACTACAATCTGCTGACAGCATTTTCTGCTCACCAATGTATTCCGCTGTGATTTTTATTTTTGTCGCGTCAACTAATGCAATACCTTTGAACTATAAGGTAAGTAAAAGTTAATTTTTAGTACCTACTTGACTTTAGAAATTTGTGAAGCAGTAAATGATCAATCGGTTATTTGGACTGCTATAATTGAAATGCTTGCTAAATCATTAGACAGAGCTATCTCACTAATTTAGATTATTTTAACATTCAATAAAAGTAAACTTATGTAGTGGAACTTTATTTTGATCAGTAAATAAGATAGACAATTTATAAACTAACGAATAGATAGATGCTATTTTACAGGATGCTAACGAAATCCATGCGTGGAAATGGAATTCTACTCGGACTGGCAGAATACTAGCTGATGAGTTGCCATTATCACCTTTAGATTCGATTGCAAGAGCGAATAAAGTTAGTTCGATCGCATTCGAAACTTTCGGTGAATTAAATCAATTTTGGGGCAATGCAATTCGATTTTTACAGTACTTGGCACAGATCTTTGAGCCTATATTGACTGCTCTAATAGAAACAATTTTCCCTGACTCAATTCATGATCTGAATCAGAAAGTGATAACTCATCCTTCCACCGCCAAGCCACAGCCTTCAGCTACGGCATCGTTTGCAGCTTTTTAAGGATTAAAAACAGACACTACTTTTTAAAATATGATAAGTAGGATCTTTGAAATAATTTGGCTCTAATTTTTAATTTTTTGTGCTTGTTAGTTTTCTTTTTAAGTAGCAAAAGTAGCAAACAATCAGTGATATCAAAATATTATTCATATATTCAACGAGTGTTAGTCCTTCTACTCATCTTTTTGTACCTTTCATTCTTATAAAAATCGAGCGTTTTGCGAATTCGCAATAAATTTATTAAAGTCAAAAGACTCTAATTTGGCTCTAATTTAATCGAAATGAATTGAAGTACCGATGCTGAAGTCAAGCAGCTACGTAGCTAACGCTATTCGCAAAGCCAAAAAATGAGTGAATTAATAGTTAGATTCTTAATGTGCTATTGAAAAGTGTCGTTTTTCTCCTTAAGACATTTTAAAAAATAATCAAAGTTTTTGTCTAACAATTCTACAACTTTGCCAATAAAATAAAATAGAAATTACTTTCAAATTCCTTCTGAATATGCCTTCGAAAGTTCAGAATTTCAAAATTCAAAAGAAATTCAGCTTAATCAGCAAATACTTTGAACTTGAAATTGAAACATAAAAGTAATTGGAGTTAATATTACTACTCACTCACTAAAATACTGGCTATCAAGTTGATATGCAGGCTAAATTCAAAGTATTCACTGACAAACCCGATTTACTTGAAGCAAAGGTATTCAGAGTCAGAGAGTAAACAACATTGCTAATAAATCCCTCAGACATCTTAATACTCTGTCTAAATTTTAATATGAATCATTTAACGATGACAAAGTTATGATATAAATGGCAAAGTTTAATCGCAAATTTTTGAAAGAAATTTAGATCAAAATTATTTTTTCTCTGGCAAGCAATATTTATTCTTAGCATAAATTTATTGCTAAGAATAAATTTTGTGAAGTATGAATTGATTTGCATGCAAACTGTAAAGCTTAGGATAGGATTGAAGCAGAAAAATGAACTCAGCTTAGAATCCAAATAAAAATGGTTATTGAAGCTTAAAGAATCTATTAAATTTATTTTGGTTTCAATTTTCAATTTTCCTAAAATCAGATTAAACTAAATTGTTCTTCATTTGGAACATAGTAGTTGACAATCAAGAACTTAACAAAATAATCTTTCAGCTATTATTCAAATTATTTTTCAAGCTTTATTGTTTTATAAAATCAGGGTTAGTCTGTGTGCAATTAATATATTGCTTCAGAATTTGACTACTATCCTACAAAACTGTAAGTCAAAAAAACTAAACTGTAAAATTATATACTTCCAGTGAATTCACTACTTCTGTTATCTAAATTACTTAAGTGATGTCTTCAAAATTTGAGAGCACTGTGACCGAATCAGGAATTGAAAAATACTGTCACAATTCGAAAATCATCAGAAAAGCTTTTACGAAAAATTAATTGGAGCAAAAGTTTTTGAATTATTTTTTGTTTGTTTCCGTCGTGTTATTATGCCCAGTAATACTACTCTTTTACAAAAATCATTCAAAGATTAAGTCTAGAAACGATGTCGACTGGTATTATAAGGGATGGCATGATTGAAACAAGCAAGAAACTATTCAAAAATTCTGTACTTTTCAATGTGAAGAATTATAATTTGTGCTGCACTGCTGGCACAGAACTATATTATGTCTCAGTCTCGGCTAGCTGAATTTGAGATAAAGAGATATGCTAAATTATGAGTTACTACAACACACAAATAAATGAAATAAAATCATAAACTACTGACCAATTATGGCAAATTAAATGCAATTCGTAATCCTTCTGAGCAATTTTTATTGCCGTTTACTAAATTAGCAAAAATCACAGTTGCATACGCATACCTGCTGGTTACATTAAGACTATTTTTGTGGATAAGGAGAAACCGTCAGACACAGCTGACAACCACATAAACTTTGCATTGAAAAAGGCGAGAATTTGTTACCACTTGGTTTTGTCCAGTTCAACATATGAATCTACCATTTTCATTCATGAATCACTTTTTCAGTCATTAATATAACCAGCAGATATGCGTATGCAGTTGAGCATATACGAAAATGGAAATAAAATTAAATTAACAATCTGAAGACAACAAAAGCCTAGAATTGGACGATATATCACTGCTTGCAACGTTGACAAAAGAAAACAAGAAAATTTGCTACTTCGCAATCATACTAAATATGCCTTGAAACTTGTACCTACTTAATCTTAGCCGACAAATTATGGTTATTCTCATCGAATGAAACTGAAGTTTTAAGCCAGAATTTTTATTCATTTATTTGGTTCACTGATCAAAACAATCGTACAACAAAACTGAATTAGACCCAAATATTGCGAGCCAATATACTGACAAAAACTCAATTAAGCTAAAATCTTTCACCTAACAAACTTTAGATTAATTCAGCAATAAAATTTTCCACAATAGTAATTCTAAAAAGTTCTCAAAGTACTATTTATTAAAATCTTCTTACATTCAAAGCACGATGAAATATTCATCACCATGACATTCAGATAAACTCATTAAAAACTATAAACTTAGTCAATGAGAATTTCAGTACTGTCTTATAACAAATATTCACGAACTTCTCGATCAATTTTCTTCATTAGAATATATGCACTATCTGGTTCGATTCTTTTATAGTACTTTTCTGCTGTTCCAACGATTTCAAAACCAAATCGCTTGTAAAAGTCCAACGCAGATTCATTGCAAACCTCAAAAAATATATATGAATAGTTTCTCCACCTTCACAGAAGGACAAAAAGTAGAAAATCCCCAACCAACAATAAATTAACTTTAACGTTTGTAGTATCCAATTCAAATTATTATCTACATCCTGTGGCAGGAAAAAGTTAAGACGAATATGGTTTGAAACTGTAATAACCTGCACGTGAAGATATATATTATCGATTGCAGAGTCTTTCTCACATAAGGTAAAGACATGTTTTAACAACAATGTTCCAATTCCAAGTCTGTAATTTGTATATTTCTAAAGTGCATAGTAAAAAAGCAATGCCTGAATACGATGCAACAATTAAAATTTTGCCGTCCAATAATATGCAAAATACACAAGCAGAAGAACGAATTTAAAAAAGCAATAATAATTCGAGATTACCGTTGCTAGTTTAACTACACTCAATATTTAAGATTAGAGACATTCTATACATACCGTCTGTAAGGTGCCAAAGTGCCAAGAGTCATAATGTAAAGTCGACGAATTCCATCTTGCACATCAATTCGACAACATACTGCACCCACAACAATATCATTGAAATATGCTAATTTTGCTAATTCCCCGGCTGTCACTATATCTTTATAAAACCTATCATTATAAGCAACCGGGAAAACTGCTTGATTAAGCCGTCTTAACTGCTGAAACAAATGAAATAAATCATAAGCACAAATGTCTTGAGAGATTTTTCCAAAACTAATATAAACTGCTTGATATAGCTGAAAACTACTTAATTTTATACTGCTCTGCAAATGCTTATTTTTTTCATCAAATATGTTTAAAGCGCAGCAAGAAAAAGAGAATGAACAGAGTGTCAGGGATGGTTGTGCATTTATCTCTAAAATCACCGGAATATTACTGAAAGCAGTATAAAATCCATAGCAATATTTGGATCGCTGCATTATAGTTTTTTTAGGTATTGAAGAGTGCAAAGATATATGTCACAGCTTGCACAAACTTTGCAAGTTACCTCCACGTTATGATGAGTAACATCACCTAGTCCCATATCACAACGACCCACGCACTTCACATCAATGTGCCTCTTACTGAAACGAGTGCATAATTCATTTATTTCCCGAACTGTATGCTCGTCCTTATCATCAGCAATATTGTTCGATGGTGCCATTATACCTGTTTAAGAGACAGGAAATGCTTTAAGATGTTTAAGAGATGCCCAAAACTCGTAACTGCAAAAAATGACGAATAAACATTACACCAACTTAAGCACTTCACGTCTTATCACTTTTCTACTGTCTATAGGTCAACTCGATAACTTTCTGTTAGTTCTCGATTGAAAATACTGATTGTGAAGTAAAACAGCAGAAAAACATTACGAATAACAAAAAAAACAAAATAAATCGCCAATGAATTTATCATCAATGAATTAGAGATTAAGGAAAACAACCTTACCTTATATTTATATCAGTAAGGATTCAGAAACCATAAACAAATGAGATGGCGATCAATAAATCAAATTTTTAAAGTAATCTTCTCCGTCAATAGCAGTATGATCAAAAAAAGTGAGAGGACGATAAGTGAAAAGTAGATGGCAATGATGACAAGTGCTAAACAATGTTAAAGATGAGATATCGACAAAAAGATAAAATCAACAGTGCGATCAATCACAAAGACAGATAAGTGCGTGAGAATGTTAATTCAAGCAAAGATCGTTATTTACTCATAGCATGTAAAAAATTACTAATACTTTGCTCAGAATACAAGACTATTACAAAGATGTTTATGTGGCAGAAAAATATCTTTGGTAGATTTTTGAACTGTATGATACTCTGAGCTACTACTGACATGAATTTTTAACCGTATTTCTAATTGACCCTGAAAAATACTACCTAACAAAAGAAACAAACCAAGTCGCCCCATTTACCACAATGAAATAAAAACATTTTTATCAAAATACCAGTATCAAATAGAAACATTTCTGCTCAGGATAGATCATAAGTCTCTAAATACTAAAATATGATAGCACTCATCGATTCCGAAAGCTGTTCATTCCAAATTTCATCAAAAAGTTGTAATTTTATTTCATTTTGTTCAGCAGCTAACAAATCTTCCAGATTACTTTGATGAGCGTAAAGCTCTTCAAGAACAATGTTTTCGATCTCAAAATTATGACCCCGTGATATTGATTCCCACCGCTTTTTGTACACATTCTGTTTGCTATCTGAAATCAAAAATTCCATGACTAAGAAAAATATATCAATATCACGTTAAATAATCAAGTATTAGACGTTACTTGCTATCTACTAACTTGAAAAAAAAGTAACCATGATAATATTTGCTAAATTTTTTCTGCATCAAATCAATAAATTGTAATACGTTCCTTGGTCGAGAATCAATGATATTTCCTAAACCCATAGAACAACCATGGTGATCATTTTTCAAACAGTGCTTTGCTACCTCACAGCATAGATCCGCAATCAATTCTCTGTGCATGTAATTAATAAATTATGAGTAGATGTTTGTTTTATTATTCAACATTACACAATGACATCTTTCGAATTTTTGCCTACGAAAATCTAGAGTATGGAAAAACGTAAACAGCAAATGATAAAGTAGTGGTCATTCTATTTCCAAATTTACAACATTTGAAAGGGATTGAAGAACACATATTTCTTAATTCTCACTTCAATTGGCTTTCCTGCGATGTCGGATTTGATGGGTCATCAACCGCAACATAAACTGGCTTTGTAAGTTTAGAATTCCATATTTTCTTGCTGAATGATTCGACTTGAGTCCTAATCCATTCTTCGTCATAAAAAAATGATCTGAAAACCAATTCTTTGTGCATATAAGTAAAGAATTCGTACCTGCTGTAAAACCAAATAGATCTCTTAAAATAAAGACTTGATTTTCTTTTTGATTGCATGAACGAGCGAAATTCTTAATTTTTGTGATCTAAAGATAGTTCAAACACTGATAAAAAATTTTTCAAAATTTGCTGAGCAAAAAAGTGTAAAACAACAAAAATTATATATTTTGAGAATATCACAATTTATATATTACGTCACTAATTCATTCGAACTCAGTTCCAATGACGTTGATTCAGACTGAGGCTTTATGTCGCACATCAAATTGACTTGTTCCGGAGGTCTAAAGAGAGAATTTTGTTTTGCCTCTGTTTCCATTTCCATATCTTCAACTTCACTTAGATCCAAACCCGGTATCAAGTCTTTAGGCTAAAGCAGAACCGAAATTTACTTCAAAATTAACACTTACTACAAATTACAACGGTGAATACTGTAAGATATTAGTTACCAAAAATTCAGAAATTATTTCGTACAGCTCTGAACTAGAATAAAAATTAATAGCAAGTAAAGAATCTCCAAAAACTTCACTTACCACAGGAATTTTGTTTAGATCAAAAACCTCGCTTTCACCATATGAATTTTCTGCAAATGATTCCTCATTAGATTTGAATACTGCATTTGCATCCTTCGATGAGCATGAATTTTCATTTTTTAACGTTAACATTGTTTCCACACATTCTTCCACAAGACAACTCAATATGGATGCAGCTAACGGTAATACACAGTGATCCGATACCTTCTAAAAACAAGGCAGCAACTAAAAAAAGAAGCAAAAATTTCGTAGCGTTAAGTCAAACGAAGAGTAAACTCTAAAACTTTTTTATCATGGTTTTAACAAGAACATTAAATTTCTAACAAGCTTCAATCACACTGCGATGTTTGAAAAAAAAAATTTCACTCTAGCTCTATTTTATAAAACATACAGGCGAATGAGAACTGTCTGTGCTGCTTTTCGAACTGACTTTACATGGCAGCGACGTCATATATTTAGATGTAGAATTTATGGGCGATTCAATTGGACTAATATCAGGCATGAACCTTCTATAATTTGATGGACTACGCATCGTCAAATTTTCCTGAGATTCAGGATGAATAATTTAAATGATGACACAAAGAAACAGTAGAAATGAATTGATCTCTACGAAATATTGAATGATGCGAAATGCATGATAACATCATGGAAAATTTTTGTGGAAAGTTTTGTGTGAATCAATGTAAAAGCAACATTAATAAACTCACGAAATTTTCATTATCAATTTTACCACACTGAGTAGGCGAAGAAACAGTTGAATGGAAACTGGACTCTGAATCTGTAATTTAAATTACGATTGAAGTAAAAAATATCAACAAAGATCTAATGTAAACCAGTTATTTGCACTTGTCAAAAAATCTGCAAAGAAAACACAACAGTAATTGTAATTAATAACCAGAATTAGATGCGGAAAAATAAATGAACCGAAGAAAAATTCAGATATTCTGAATTGCAAAAACTATTGGAAATCATGCTTATCGAGGTAATTAAAGAAAATAATCCTCTAAGAAAATAAGTAACGTCAACATTTACTGTGTAACTAATTCATTACCCTGTCGAACTGTTTGATCAGCGAAATTACTAATGATACTGTTTTCAGAATCAGATGGTAACGGCGTGAAGAACTGTTCATCTTCAGTGCTGAACAGTGAACTGCTTCGGCACTCTAAGTCCTCTTGAGTAAATAATAGCTTATCTTTCTGAGTATCGTTTGGATCAACTTTATTGGTAGTAGTTAAAACTACTTCCTTAGAAGTGTCTTTTCTAAATCCTTCGCTTCCAGTATGAAGGACTTCAGAGCTATCATGAATGTCTATTAAGCTACCAACTACTTGCTCATTCCTACTTAAGTCATCCAATAAATAAACTGAATGATCTTTTTCAGACAATGATGTAGCATTCAAAGTTCTGCAACTTTCATCCTCTTTATTAGGAAATTTTTCGCTCACAGAAGCAATATGACTGCCACTACTAGAAAAACTATCTGCTTTTGTTTCTTGTCCAGAAATATGCTCCAAGTTCTGTAAATTTGTCGACTGTTTTTTTGTCTCTGAATTAAGTGCTTCATCTCTCAAGTTGGAACTGCGAGTGGAGTTCATTCGTTCATCCTGACTATTTACCAAAGTTTTTCGAGATGAGTCTGCAATTTCCAGTAAAGAATGTTCGTTTTTTACGGTAGATGCATTTTCCGCCGAAAGTTCTGAGTCCATATCTATAAAATTAGTCACAGAAATTACATATCATGTTGCAGAAACAACTAGACATTGTGCAGAATAATTTTTCTGAGAGAAGAATTAACTCACTGTCCAAATTGATTAATTCTGCAATATCTTTCTTTGTTCTCGAAATGTAACGATTATGAGCTTCGATTTGTGCCATTAGCGAGTTTTCTTCGCTGAAATAACTTTTTTATGTGAAATAGAAACAACAAATAATGATCATTCATTAATCACAAAATTTATTTCTGCATACTTCACAAATGCAGATAACAAAACTTCCAAAACTGAAAACTTCATTTCAGTGCGAAAAGAAAAATAAAACTAATTAATAAAAAATCAAGCCTTTGTTCAATGCGTAGCATTCTTAGATCTAGCATTCTTTTTGAGAACTCAGCCTCTTTTCTTCTCCATTTCAGTTCATCGCGCAAACGATCCACATGCGCACTGGTACCCTTTGGATTTCGAACTAAAAACTGATTTAAACCAAGTGAAGAGAAATTTAGACAATAATAAAGTTGTTCCTTAGTGGGTGTGAAAAATAACTCGCAATACTAACTTTGAATTTCTTGAGCACTTCGTAAAACTCGTACCGGGCTACTTGATGTCATCTTCAGGTCATCATTACTTACTGCGTTCTCAGTATAGTTAACAGAACCTTGAGAAATGATATAACACAGGTAAAACTAACACTATCACAAAAAATAAATAAAAGTTCAATACTTAAATGAAACCATTTGATTTCAAGAGCATTCAGACTGCTCTGTAGATATAACAGAATATACAAAGTCCAACTCATTCAATGTAGTTCTTGATAAATCTATGCAAACTAATGAAATGGATTTTACTAACTCCATACATAAATGCAAATAAAAGTTCGAGCTCAGAAGAACAATTAAGCCCGACCAAATTTTGCTAGAGCTAAATTACTGCGGAGATAAAGAAAAGCAGTACTGTCATAAAATTGCAAGAATACTTCATATGTAAAATTATGGACTCGAAACGAACACTAGAATAAAAAAAATTTACAATGACGATTCTTCAAATTTTGTTGCCATCGCTCCATATTCTTTAGAAGATTATTTTTTTCAAATCCATTTGTGAAATGAAGTATTTTTTCTAAATTCCGAGAGAGGTCTTCGAAATCCAATTCTTGTTCACAACCTCTTAAAATATTTCCAATCAACTATCACGATTTGTAACTTTGATCAACTAGGTTTAGCTAGCTGGTCGATTTTGAATAAAAAATTTGATCTGCAGTCACTTTCAAGTATTTTCTTGCATCACTAAGTGTCAGCTAAAATATAATCAAACTCTTACTTCAACAATGACCACTGCTTCCGCAAATTTAGATTAATCAACTGTATTCGAGCCATTTCATGTATGTGATAGTCAATCAAATTTTTCTGAAAATTTGAAAAAAAAAGTTTTTTGTGATACTGAAAAAATTGAAATAGTTCTTTTCTTACCAATGGCATTAAAGTGAAAACTGAGTCTACATATTTCCGCTTTAACATGAAGCAAGCAAATTTTATTTTTTCCTCTTCGTTTTCAATTCTCGACATATCTTTCTTCCCTTCTCTGCGATAGAATCTAAAATATAAATAACGAAAATGATTAAATATTACTCTGATAAAATTGTTATCAGAAGATTTCTCCGTCCGCAACTCGTCATGTCAGCTCAGTTAATTGCTACTGTTGTTACCGTATCTTTGTTTAAATATTCAAGATTTTTTTAAGAAAAATTGTAAAACACAATCAAGAGTTTACTTTCGAAGTCCGGCGAAGTAAACCAAACTATCCTCATAAAATCGACGTAGAGCTTTTACAGTTTTATGTGCATAATACCTGCGCTCTGCCAACTCTTCAACTGCATTGATAAAATTAATAATACTGCTATTGATACAAGCAAAAAAGCAAGACGCATTATCTTGTAACGAAGCAATAAAGAAAAGGCACTTAAATTTTTAAAAAAATTTCACATTTCAGTGATAAAAATTTATTTTTTCATTCTTCAGCAAATTAAAAATGATTTTATTGTTAGTCCACTTTCAGAATAAATGTAACCTCGTGAACCGCAACATCTAGACATTCCATTTGTTGACGGAATAGCAGTGTTTGTTTTAAAAACCTGAAATGTATAACACAAATTAAAATCAAATACTACTCAAAAGCTGGATGTCGATCAAACGCCATTTTAAGATATGTTTGAATATCAAAAATAAATGGTAATGGTAAATTACCATTCGCTCTGGCTTTTCTTCATTAATTATCAGCTCTCTGTACTCATCCATTCTGTCATTGTCATTTGCTTTATGTGATCTAGAAGAACTGAATGAATCAAAATTTCGTCGCACCTGTAAACAAACAAATACAAGTCATTAAAAGTGAGCAAATACATACGACACGACACAACAGCGTTACATTATCTAAGAAAAAACGAGCCATCAGTAAAACAATCCAACTGCTATTAAAGTGAATTCTGGAAATAAAGCAGTCAATAATCATCCGAAATGGTCTATTCGCCATACAACTGATTCAAAAAACCACTTAGCAAGAAGAATCACTAACATCACTACAAACAAAACCGTAGTTCTCGAAATTGGCACTTTGGTTATGAAAAAATGAAACCAAGGTTCGACATAAAAATTGCTCATTAACACTAAATGACAGTTACAACTTAAAAAAATCATCCTTTAACTATTTCTCGCACTATATATTTTACGAGTTTACACAAAGAAAAATCGTTATCAAACCACAACCAATAGTCATTATTTTATACACACGAAAAACATTAAAGTGATTATAGTTCTGAAAACAGTACATCGTAAGTGAATGAATTATGAAGAAGCGCTTCATTCATGCGCTGCTGTGCAGTTGCATACAAGCTGCTTTGCAAATTAGAACATCTTTTGCTATAATTTGAATCCTGAAACGATAAATAAATTCCTAATAATTTAAAACTTGAAAAACTTCCAGTGAAGTTAAAATACACTTTTTTTTGTTGAGTCGCGGCAAATTGTTAACAGAGCTTTATTATTTTTTCGTCCCAAACGAGTCAAGTAAAACATATAACAGTAAAATTTTCCGATCTGACTCAGGATTATTCGAAAAACTAGTATTAAATCTGACGAAGATCTGAAATTAAAAAAAATCAAGACAGCTGTCTTTTTCAGTAAATTAAAAATAAAAAATAAATTTATGAAGTAAATTTAGTACTCCTCCATGAACAATTGATCAAAAGAACAACTTTACGCATTTAATCTGAGCAACATAAGAATAATACTTGGCCACTGTTTCCTTCCCACATCTGCGATCCTGCTTCATTACTGAATGCAGTGCGAACATCTCGAAGATGCTGAGCCATCTCAGCTATATTATTTCCATATGCAATGTGGGCTTTCAACTGACATCCTAATGTTTTACCACAAGCAACATCTTTGGCATCTTGCTGAAAGTTTTCCAATGTTTGCTTTCAAAAAAGTGTGTAATTTTATCTGAAAATGAAAAGATGATATTCGGCGAACCTGAGAAAAAAACCGATGGCTATCAAGAGCATTTTTTGTGGCTGAAATCTTATTGCATGTCTTGCAGCTTTCAGTCGCAAATATCCTTTCATTGGGTAAAGTTGTTTTAGTTGTCAAGTTATCTCTTGGCAATGATGAGAATGATAATCGATTTGAAAATGATGCATCCAACAATTGTGCTGCCCTGTATAAAAAATGTCGAAAATGATGAAAAATTTGCTCTCGTAAACAAATGATTCAAGTCCCCAGATATGTTATGAAAAACTTAGTGACACAGAGAAATTCAAGATATGAATATCAGTTTACAAGTTCCAACTTTCATATCATTTGGGCATTAAAGTTTAAAGTGATAAAAAAATCCAAAAATAATAGGAGACATAAGGTTACAAAATAAATATACTCCAAAAACTAACGAAAAAATCACTTATCAATATTGCTTTCCAAGTCATTTAAAGCATCAAAAGACTGTTTGACCTCAATATCGGTTTTACACAAATAATCGTCCTTTCCACAAAAATTAACATTTAAAGTTGAGTGCGGAGAAACCTGAAGTGATAAAGAAAGTTACTTTCATTTTTGTTTAACTATTCAATTATGCAATAACTCACCCAAATTCTTGTAAATTTAAAAACTGGTTTGTACTCAACAAAAAAAACAACATATATGGTACAAATTCTCTCTCATCTTCCCTCTAGAAGATGCAAAAAATGACTGAAATGAAGAACTTACTGTTTTAACACATAGATCACTATATGATGAGTGAGTGCATCCCGCACAAGCTGCAAATAAGTTATGTATTTATAATTGCAGTTTTTTCGACTGCAATAGAAAACACCTAATCATTGCTCAACATTAATACGAACCTTTATGCAATTTTCCATAATTTTCACAATTCGATGGTACCTCCTCTGGCAGTAGATGATGTTTATCGTCGCTAGTCTTCCATATTTTACTTTCCTTATTCATAAGTGATTGTGACGGGTATTTGAAATCATTTATATGACACTTTTCAAATTTTTTTTTGTTAATCACACCTTTCGACCTCCTAAATTTTAGATAATATTCAAATATTATGATAACTACCCCACTGTTTTGGATGTCATGTCTTTTCTCACGCTACAATGCAATCATCACAAAAACGAATTATTGAATTTACAATATTTCTTCGAGCGATTGATTCCACTGAATGTTTCAAAAAGTAACGAACTATCGATTAGTGCACAGCACACTAAAGTATATAATTGCTTTGGAATCAGAGTTTTGTCTATGCTGAAAAGTCGTCCCTGCATTCCTAATAATTTTATCTGCTTTCCTGGTACTGTTTGTAATTTTCGACAGTTAAAATATTATCGCTTAATAACATTTACTGTTTCTATTACGACCGAATTTGCTTTATAATTCTGTCGATGTTTAAAATGCACAGCGAGATAAAATAACCAAAATTTCAGTGGCGCACGTGAAAACACGTGGATTTTGAAACAACTTTTTGCTTTAATAAATAAATAATTTTTTAAATGCAAAGCAATAACTACTTTTCTTCCTGAGACCTTGATGGTATATGTGGCCAGCTCTTGACATTTTTGACACTACTGAATCCAAATTTATTGGACACGTACTTCAGCTTTTCTGTTTGATTTTCCTATGATTTCATTTACAGATTAGATGGCGCATAGTTCATTCAAATCAAATACATGGTAATGAACTTCCCACTATATAGAAAATTTTCAAAATATATAGAGAAATGAGAGATACCAATCGTAAATATGGCTTATTCATCGCAATTGCTGATTCGACAGAAAAAATTACTTTTTCGATGCCAACAGAGCTTCTCGATGCATGCAGTGAAACAGATCTGTACAGCTTAGTTCTTCTTTCATTATCATCATCTTTGTAACAATCCAAGGCTTTACAGCATTGCTTATCTGAATCAAATTCGTATAAAAAGCTACAACAAAATAAGACGGTGCAAGCTTTTTATAGCTTATAAGATCCACATGCTTAAAAAAATTTTTCCTAAACATCACAGCTATCTCCTTTTTTCTGCAAAAATTTTGTAGAATTATGAACCAAAAACAACAGATTTGCACTTCAACAATTGGTTCAGATTACGTAAAATATGGAGTAATAAAGAAATAATTTTATGCACTTTCTCGCATAATAAAATGAATGATCACATCCATTCTTCGAACGTAATAACTGAAAAGAAATATACGAAAACAACTGACATGCGATCGAGTCACGTATACTTTTAGCTTTCTTTAATACATTCTTCTCGAAAGTATTCTTTTTCAACGCTATTTCTTGAGATGTCATTGGACGTTTCCGAGCATTATTTACGGATTTCTCAACTCCATAGCTTCTCTGATTATTTTTTTTATGTCCATCTACAATTGATAGATTTTTTTCAATAAAAAAGAATCAATACTAGACACATATTCATAAGTGCAAAAACTTAAATTTTCAGTGCTAAAATTTGAACAGAAAAGTAACACAACTTTTTATTACTAACTGAAGACAGCAGCGATTGTATTTGGTAATCATAAATATAACCTATGAACAAGTCATTCAATACTTATGAGCCAGTGATGCTAAAAAAGTAATTATTTTGTGCTATTAATAAATCGCAGTTCACAACAATAATAAAAAACAAGCATGAAAATCAAACCGGAAAAAATACGATGCCGAATATGTTTCAATAAACCCTCACGACTCATTACGCCTTCCTAATTGATCTGAAATAATGTGCTAAAATAAGTTAAAGTAGAAACCTGAAATGCATCTGCATCTAGGCGAGACTGAATTTCTTTAAGGTATACTTTTTGTTCAATCTATGATTTTTTCTGTTCAATTGCCTATATTGCACTGAATCACATTTTATATCTTGAAAAACCCTGCAAAACTTTAAAGCTGAAGCGATAAGAAACAGACTACAAGCACCAATGTTCAACGAAAAATCATCATATAATAAGGAATGATTAACACGTCAATATTAATCCATTCAACCAATGAAATTTCAGAAAATGAACAAGAAATCCAACAGAGAAAATATTTCCCAACAGAAGTAGCAAGCTGCCAATTCAGTGTCGAGATAAATTATGGTAAGTTAATCGCTTAGGGCTGAAAAAAAACAGAGCTGAAACACTTACGAAGTCAATTCAAACATCGATTCTTCAAGATATATGAAAACAATGTGCTATATGAAAATTCGACCTAATCTGCCAAATTAAAAAAGCTATTTGAAAAAAGTAAATATCTGAATGATTTCATTAATATTCGATGCTCTTGAATTCACCACAAACTATCATGTAACAAATATTGTCATTACCTCCTTCATTTACTGCACTCAATTTAAAAGCATTTGATAACTTTAGGTGATCGCCAAGGACATGATATCACCAGGTCAACTTCCTTATCTGCAACACGCATCCCAGAAATAATAAACTACGTTGGTACACATACCGTAGTACAATGAAAGCAAGTCTCATAGATTAAATATCACTCAATTCTAAGCCCTCTAATTTCATACAAGAATTACTAGCAGTCATGAAAAAATTTGAAAAAATGATTTCTTCTAAGTAAATATTTTCCATAATCTAATCTCCTTTTCCAAATCTGACTTTTCTTTATAATATGAATTTAAAGAATCATTTAATTTAAAGAAGCTCAATTTACTGCATCAAACTAAAATTATTCAAACAAAATATTAAAATAATCATAGAGAAATATCAGGAAGAATAACGTTAATCTCGATACCTTTGACCCATACTGTCAAGCCTTTGACCTCAGTGCTAGTCTTTGACTAATTTTGATTTATAATTGTTTTCTACCGTATTATTCGTAGCGTGGTATTATTAGGTGAATATGACAATGCCTTCGTTAGGAGTTACAGGAACTGAAGCTGGAATTGTTCAACAAACTTGTTTATACCTGCAAACTTTCATCTTCAGATAAACAAAAACAACTCTTAGAAAAAAGGTACAAACAAAAACTTCCAGAGTAGATACTACATGTAGTTTGTAGCAGGAAGTAATTATTGCAAAACTTGGAAACAGTCCACTAAATGACCACAGCCACTTGTGCTTTGGATAAAAATTTAATTTGGAACAAGAAAAGTGATGTCATTTAGGCGAAAAAACTACAAGCTGAAAACCAAATCTGACGATAGTTGAATGAACAAGGTAAGATGGACAAAATTAGCAAGTAATTTCGAAAACGAATGCTAAAAAACGCCATCGAACTGAATGATCAAGACGTAGGAACATAGTAATCTCAGTAATAATTTCAAACGTACAATTATTTCTCTAGCGTACATTCATTTGCTAACTGGCTCGCGCCTTAATCAATTTTTTTATGCAAAATAAATCCAAACCGCTGGACGCTAATTTTTTAAATTTTTGAAAAAGTCACCAAGAAGTAAAGAAATAGTCGATATGCACTGTTAGCATTCATTTTCGAAATAACTACTGATATTACTCATCTTATATTGTTGATTCAACTACTACCGTCTTTAATTTTCTACCCTTGAATGACATCATTTTCATTTTTTCTGCTCCGAATTAAGTTTTGATCAAAAACACAATTGGCTGTGATCAGTAAGTGGACGGTTTCAATTTTGTACTATAATTATTTTCGACGAAAATTACATTTAGTGTCTTTTGTAGTGGTTTGCTCATCTTCATATGATAGCTTCAGCAGTTATAAAGAAGTTTTGTACTGTTTTCAGCTTTAATTTCGGTAACTACTAGCAAGGACATTTTATTTATATCCATCTAGTAATACGACGCAGCGAGTGTTACGACAAGAAATAATTACAGGACGAAACCTGATTTGTAGGCTTTATTCTCATAAAAAATGATTCGTCCATAGCTATCAAAAGTTAGACAGAAAATGTTTTAATTGGATTCATGTCCTTTCTACGACACACTTTTGTATTTCAGAATTGATATGTCAGTGATAGATAACATCTTGGACCCTGACACTTTCTCAGAATATTTTTTTTATGAAAACCGCTTGAAAACTTTTACAAAAAAAGGAAAATTTCAATGGCCTCATCGCAATTTAGCAAATTTATCTCCAGTTAAGGTCAGTGTCGTGCTTTGAATTTGTTATCATTTCATATTTCAGTCAACATAGTGAGATTCTGTGCTGTATATCTGTAGAAACTTTTTTTATGTTTAAGGTTGAACTTCTAATTTCATTTTTCGAAAAAACAACCGATAGCAAATGTGATACATTGTTTCAGATGGCTCAAGCTGGCTTCTTCTTCGATCCTGATAAGGATAACATTGACAGTGTTACTTGTCCGTTTTGCTTGAAAGGCTTAGCTCGTTGGGAAGAAGGAGATGATCCTTTGTAAGTTTTTCTTCTATATAATGTCAAATCAGAAATTTAGCATGCAAAAATCTATGCTCCCCAAAGTAATAGGCAGTTAAAATAGTCAGATATTGTTGGTTTTTAGTGTCGAGCATAATAAAAGAAAAGAAGTCTGTTACTTTATGCGATTAAACAAAGATGAAAAAGATTGGACAGTCGAGGATTTCCTTCATCTTGTAGCTCAGCGAAGAGCAGCTGTGATCGTTAGTTTGTCACACTTCTTTTTGAACCTTATTTCTCGAAGACTTTTGTGTTTGCTATAAATTCAGAGATATGAATACATTTTCTGAATACTGAGATCAAAATTTCGAAATATTGTAGGAGTGAAGGACAGCTGTTGTAATTTTGTGTTGAAATTTGCGTTAAAATATGTGTGGTTAAAACTTTATTATTTTAGTCTTCAATTGCCTTAACAGCTCTCGATGGAGCTAAACAGGCTTTGGAAATCATGAAAACAAGAATAGAGGGTTTGGCCGAAAAGAAGAAAAAGAAGACAGGAAAAAAAAAGAAATGACTTTTCGCTTGATTGGAGCATGATATTCAGTACATCAAGAGTGCTCTGTAATCACGTTTTTCTATAAGTTTTTAGATGAATTTTGATGCTTGAACACTATTAGTAGCTTTGTATATATGTATATACCGTTCGAATTAATTAAGCCTTGCATCATTAATTGAAAAATCGTTTGCTGATTAAGTAATGAAATCACAGATAGTTCACAGATACAATATAATATCCTCGGTCGTTCATAATGTTTCGTATGCCTTAATTCATGCTTTCGAAGTTGGGATGGAAACATTTGTTTGACATCAATTCATCTCAAATGAAATCTTGTCTTATATTTCTCAATTGTGTTTATAATGTGGTGTATCAAGCGACAATTTGAAACACCTCATGCAATTTATGTCGGTTTTAATGAATATATTATTTTTACTGTCGGTATTTTAATGAATATATTATTTTTACTGAAGATGGATGCGTTTTGCAAGATCCATTTCCTATATCCCTGCCCTATTTGGTTAAAAAATGACATGTGAAATATTGTAACGACTAGTGTTCGAAGTATGCAGTGAAATTCTTGCATATTAAACTGAATGAGTATATCTGATCCGAAGGTATGTGTGTAAATGTTTGAAGTCAATGCATTTATACTCACATACATTTTATATTGCTGCTAGTGAAAAAAATAGGATCAAAAATTTCTTTTAAATAAAATTTGTAGCTTTAATTCGTCTCAAAAGTTCGCTACTTTATTTTCATGTTAAGCTGGACAAATTGTCAACTGAGATTCACCTCGACGGGGATGATTAATCCTCATGAAAGCTGCAACTTGCCTGGACCTTATCAAGCACGTTTTGTGTAAAGTAAAGTGCGCCGTGTCAGATAGTATGCAGTGCACGCGCAGAAAAAGAAAATTAACATACTTTGCTATTTGAATCTATTCATGAGAGCAATCGATACCTGCGTTTTAACATACTTTCAGAAAGCAATGAAAGTACTGCTTGCTCTCATTTCAACACATGTGGATTAGTGTCGTTGGAGTACACGTGTACGTAAGCATAACTTCAACGTTTGTGCGTTCGTGTTGGAGTATACATGACTTCGTAAACCGAAGGACATTATGTAGTCTTGTTGAGACTGCGTATTTGCATTCTTGCTGCATGCTTTAAATGTGAGACTTATCGATCGACCTGCCTGCGAGAAATCGTAGTGATATTTTAGAGAAGTAAAATTAAAACGAATGAATATTGAATTTGGACGCAAGCCAATAAATAATATTTCTCACGCGCATTCCTGCACAATCAGCCGCACGGCAATAAGACCCTTGCTTATTTAAGCATACATCAGCTGCTGATTGGTTTTCTCAATGTTTTTCTTGGTCATTCAGATGTTAAACTTTTTAAATTACAGAATAATTAGTCAAACTGGCAGCCTCAATTTCACCCGTACCTCTATGCAGTCCCAAAATCACGACAGTAGAACGGCCAGTACTACGGCAGCCTCCCGCAGTCGTGGAGCAGGTTATTTTCTTTATTACTTTCATGCATTTGTAGTGATTACGTATTACTTTATCATCATTATTTTATTGTCAAATAAGTTTTTGAATGTAATTATGCCATGATTAATTTCTGGACACTGACAAAATTTGATTTTCACCAACTTTTTACGGTTTGTTTTCCTAACTATTTGGTTATGGCAACAGTTACAGTCATATAACGATGATGGAGAAGTTTTTCTGATTTTCAGATATCATATTTGGGGTGTGCTAAAATCGAGAATCCAAGTAATGAATCAGAAATTCTAAAAATAATGCAGCTACTGAATAAAGAGCGTTCTGAGAAGCCAATAGATGTTGTATTATTTATCCCTGACTCATCTTTTGGCATTGTTCGGTATGTATCTTCTTTATATATTAGTTAATGCTACAACTTTTTCACAATTTATTAATATGAAAAGATGGAAGCATTTACTTTCAAATTTTGACATTTTTTATCCTACACTAGGATATATCCTAATACTTTTCTATCACTTTCAGTTATTTTGCGCATGAAGAAAAATTATACTTTTTGTTGTTATAATGGATGATTTCTTGTCACATCATTTTCAATAAATTTTTAAACAAAAAATTAGAAGTTAGGTAAGATCTACAAACCAGTTTGTTAAAATGTGGTAACCGAGATCTGATTGAGATTGCACTCTTTTTCCAACAATGTTGCAAAGTCGCTGTTAGGCGAAGTAATTGAATATAATACCTATATTTGAGGTGAATGTTCTTTTCTATTCACGTTAATGACCAAATTCGTCAAATAAAACTTTTGTAGTATGTGTGATGGAACAAGTAAATTAGAATTGGTGAGTTTCCCGGTTCATCGGATTAGATTTTGTGCTCGCGGCCAGTTGGACTCAGCAGAACGTGAATGTTTTGCGTTATCTTTCACACAAAAAAATGCAACAGCTGCTGATGATGCTTTACATCAGTGTCATGTTTTTCGATGTCAAGTTCCGGAAGCAGTAAGTCATAATGAGCATTTGCTTGATTTTTAACAAAAGTCTTCGATTGTTTTGATTTAACTGATTCCTCTCTTATCTGTAGATAATTTTTACAGCTTTAGTTATGCACAGTATAGTTTAAAAGATGGCTACAACTGTAAAAGGGAACTATGATTTTCTTTATGTAAAAAAATGAAGAAAAAGTACTTTTTTTTGTATATATTATAATTGAAAAAGCTTGTCGCTAGACTTTTATAAAATTTGATTTTATTGCAGTTTTAAAAATTTTTCAGGCAGGAAAGGCACTTCTAAGCTTTGCTAATGCTTTTCGAAGCAAAAGTGCTGCCAAAAAGATTCCTTCTTTAAAACCACGCCGTACTTCTCATACCAATACTGTTGATGAAGTGACATCAAGTTTAGAAGAAGCGTTCAGTCCTCATGGTGAGGAAGATTTTCAGTTCGATGCATTTCTTGAAATGAGGGTAAAAGTTTACTACAATTTATCATATAGACATGCACTTCACATTATCTTGATTGTGTAGTGTTAATTTCGTTCAAAATTTAGTTTTTCTTGAAAATTTTTAAGAAATTTTTAGGAAGTTTTTTAGTGCTTTATTCTTGTGCTATTTTCCTGACTCAGTGTATACCATTCAAGTCTTCTAGGAAATTTAATGCTCAGAGTTTATAGGAAGAAGATTCGAAGAAAGGTCATATAATATGTCCCCAGGAAAAAAACTGTTTTAAACTGAGAAGAGATCGAGAGAAGCGAGTAGTCGTTGTTTTGCAGCAGACTCGTGGTGAAAGGATTTTAATAGTAAAAAAGTCAGTTTTTGCATTTTTGTATCAAACTTCTTTTTTATGTTTTATGGATGAAGCGATATTTTACTGTATTTTTGCTAAACAATATTAAAATCCAAAAATATTAAATTCTATAATTAAGACAGTGGTATGTAAAATTGTAAATGCGTAGTCATTTTATTTTAGTTGTTTGATTCTGATGTTGTTATTCACTTTTTCCTTGTATTTGAAGCATGATTTTCTCCTTCGAGTTTGCATGGAGCCTTACTTGCATTTTCAGGTGTTTTGGTCTTTTACTTGGCGCTGGTCGAAATTTACGACACAGTGATATGCATCTTCTTGATATGGTAACATCATATTGTTTACTCCTTAAAATCTATTCATCACATTTGATTTTTGACACTATTTTAAACTTAATATTTTTTGGTTTATTGAAAAATATTTTGTAGCAATCGATGGGACGGGGCAACGATGCAAAAACATACATAGTTGAAGCTGTATGGGATCCACATTTACAGAATTTAGAAGTTTTGAATACGGAAACACCTAGAGGTTCGCATTTTTGATCTTTAGTCAACACCAATTATAAATTGTTAATTTATATCCAATTATATTATTGAAATACACTTGTTCTTGTTTCATATGAAGGTCTAAGCTGATATCGTTTCTATCATTAATATATTTTACCTGTGAATTAATTTTACCATACTATATTGTTAATGGACGTGATATCTTTTTTAACTTGAAAATGCTTGTTTTATGGTAAAAAGCCAAGTTTCAGATTAATCTGTTCAATCTTTTTAGAAACAAGAGTTTTTATGACAGTAGCAGTCGATGTAATACTGACGGGCATTGATGAACCTGTGCGTTTCAACATAGAATGTAAAGCGAGAATTTTCCATGAGCACGAACGATTTTGGTACGTTTCCAGAAGGCCAGTGGTGGAAAAATATTTTCTTTCTACGAGGGTTCGTTAGCTCATGATACTGAAAACGTATTTCAGCTGAACACTTCAAATCTCACTGACCCTAGTTATATATCAGTCAGATAAAATAGGGTGATCTTTTCCACCATTTTTTATAGGCTGGTGTTTATATTTTAGGGAAAAATTCTTAGTGGGTTAGCACATAACAAACTTTCTCTTTCCATCTTAAACGCAGTTTCATGCACTTTTCTTTAAAATCAAAACTTGGTCACAGCATGTAATTTTGTTTGTTACTTTTAGAAAATAGTGTTGACGTATCGAATTTTTTCGTAAAGGGTTCTTAGAAGTCCTTAGAAATAAGCGGAATGGTGGTCGCTCAACAAAATTATTCACAAAATATGTGGTAATCAGTGAGCAGATAGTCCTGAAAAGTTGTAAAGTAGCAAATTCAAAGTGATGAAAAAATAGTTGTCGGCAATAAGTCAGTTTGCCGATTGTTAAAATGTTTGTTGAGAAGCAGGTGGAAACGGTATGGACAATCAAAATTTGAACTAAAAGTAGGAATAAATTTTAGTGGTTATAACATATTTCAAAACATGCAAAATTGTTGTTGTAGACGTGGAATACAATGAATAAACTTTTGGTTTGAAACCAAAATTTGGTTACAGTTTGTTATTTGTTTTTGGCTCTAGAAAGTAATATTGAGGTATGAAGTTTTTCGTTCTTTCGTATAGGATCCTAAGAAATTACGTGGAAAAAAGCAATGATTGTATATATATA